CGCTCGCTCGCTCTCGCAGGGCCCGCCCTCAATCTCTGTCTGCACCAGCCGCCCGGCACCTCTGCTGATCTAAAATCAGAGCAATTAAAGAGTAATGAACTCTCTGGAACGGCGACTCCTACAGACACTCAGCGCTGCCGCGCATCAGCGCCTCCCAGCCCTCCTTCCCAGCAGCCAGGCAAGAGCATATAGACCCTTTCCAGAGACCCTTTCAGAAGCTCTGTCAACTTCAGCGTGAACCGGGTGTGGACCCTGGGACGTTACAGATTAAACCGTGTCGTGTGTGTGTGTGTGTGTGTGTGTATGTGTGAGTACTTTGGTGTCATAATGCAGCGTTGCTCTTAAAGGATATTTAGGAGTCCCCAAGTTTGAAATCCGTGTGTGTGTGTGTGTGTGTGTGTGTGTGTTGAATGTGCATTTCCTCAAGCGATCAAATGTGTCTTCCGCGCAGTTTATTTAAACCTCTGAAAGGCCTCCTAGAGACGCCAAACTACTTTAACAAACTAGCTCGTATTCTGGGCGGCACAGCCCGGCTGGATTTGTGCGTATGGGAGAGTGAAACTGACACTTCAAGGAAAGGGTCTGCGCTGGGACCCACCTCCGAGCCTCATACCCTCACGCGGCCCCTAGGAGGTGCTGGTGAAATACGCTTGGGTTTTGCAGATCGCTCTTAATCCTGCCTTAGCAAGTGGGCCACTTTTCCTAGCACCGAGGAAGACGCTGAGATTCAAAGGGTCTGGAACAGGTTGCGCGCGCGGTGTGTCTCTGATAGCCAAGCGCGTTGCTGTTTCATTCCATTTGCTGAGATAGTACAGTAGTCTGAGCTCTGGTACCAACTGTCTTGCCTTTTAAAGTCCTCTCCGTGGGAATAATGCTTCACACCAGGGAGGTCTAATTTAACCTGTGTTAAGCCAAGTGTTTTTTGGATCAACTCTGCAAAAGACATGGATGTATAGAAAGCCAGGCTGTAGCCTAAAGCTAAAAGAGCCTGGAGACAGAGGGGCTAACTCTGCATAACCAGAGGACAGAGGATGAGGTACAGCTCACTGCACTGCAATAAGCTTCCTCTGAAATGGGTTTCCTCATGGATTTCTTCTAAGGAACAGGCGGGAGAGGTCCAATTAATCCTTCAAAGCATATTAAACCTAAATGGAAAGAGGGAGAAATTCATCATCTATAGATGTTCTCTTCTTTACTATGATTCAATCTATGTATCTGTAGATGGCTAAGAATTTTCCAAACCACAGGAATTCAGAGAGGCAACGCTCTTATTTCCAGGTAATGAGCTGTAGTTCAAAACCAGTCACCCAGAAAGGGGTGCCGTTTCTCTGCAATTAGGATTGAAATTGTTTTACTTAAATATGCCACTCTAAGTAAACTGAATACACCCCAGGCCAGGAAAGTTTCATATGATAGGAAAAATCTTTAAAGCAATGAATGCAAAGTTACAAGATTATGGTTGTTTGCGCGCAGTTTATTTAAACCTCTGAAAGGCCTCCTAGAGACGCCAAACTACTTTAACAAACTAGCTCGTATTCTGGGCGGCACAGCCCGGCTGGATTTGTGCGTATGGGAGAGTGAAACTGACACTTCAAGGAAAGGGTCTGCGCTGGGACCCACCTCCGAGCCTCATACCCTCACGCGGCCCCTAGGAGGTGCTGGTGAAATACGCTTGGGTTTTGCAGATCGCTCTTAATCCTGCCTTAGCAAGTGGGCCACTTTTCCTAGCACCGAGGAAGACGCTGAGATTCAAAGGGTCTGGAACAGGTTGCGCGCGCGGTGTGTCTCTGATAGCCAAGCGCGTTGCTGTTTCATTCCATTTGCTGAGATAGTACAGTAGTCTGAGCTCTGGTACCAACTGTCTTGCCTTTTAAAGTCCTCTCCGTGGGAATAATGCTTCACACCAGGGAGGTCTAATTTAACCTGTGTTAAGCCAAGTGTTTTTTGGATCAACTCTGCAAAAGACATGGATGTATAGAAAGCCAGGCTGTAGCCTAAAGCTAAAAGAGCCTGGAGACAGAGGGGCTAACTCTGCATAACCAGAGGACAGAGGATGAGGTACAGCTCACTGCACTGCAATAAGCTTCCTCTGAAATGGGTTTCCTCATGGATTTCTTCTAAGGAACAGGCGGGAGAGGTCCAATTAATCCTTCAAAGCATATTAAACCTAAATGGAAAGAGGGAGAAATTCATCATCTATAGATGTTCTCTTCTTTACTATGATTCAATCTATGTATCTGTAGATGGCTAAGAATTTTCCAAACCACAGGAATTCAGAGAGGCAACGCTCTTATTTCCAGGTAATGAGCTGTAGTTCAAAACCAGTCACCCAGAAAGGGGTGCCGTTTCTCTGCAATTAGGATTGAAATTGTTTTACTTAAATATGCCACTCTAAGTAAACTGAATACACCCCAGGCCAGGAAAGTTTCATATGATAGGAAAAATCTTTAAAGCAATGAATGCAAAGTTACAAGATTATGGTTGTTTGTATAAATTTGCTGATGGGAGGGGCGGCAGATAAATATATGTATTTATCTGGGCAAAGGGGCGTCTTTCTCGTCAGTGTCACTTTCACCTCCCATGTAATGCTATGCAGCAAGGCTTATTTGCTGAAGTAGAATATTAGAGAAAAGTTGATTGATTATTTTAATAAGCAGCTTCCCAATCTGAATAGAATTTTCACCTTAATTATTTAGCTAAATAAGGAAACATGAAGGATTAAATTTTGTTAGTAACTGAAACTTTGTAAATTCAGGATAGCATTGCTTAACTCTGTTGCTTCATCTTATAAAGAAAAATATAAATGTGCATCTTAATTAATGAGAGAGACTTTTCACTACGTCCCTAGTAGGAAAATTCTAGTGTTCCAAAACATTCAGTGCTTGGGTAAATATACTTTTTTGGAGCGATGCGTGATACAGATTTCTCTAGTCAGAGTATATCTTTTTGGCTGAATCAGTCCTTATTTAGCAAAAAAAGTCCCCATTAGTTTTGGACACCAGTGCAGCTGAGTGTTGGGATCCATCTGTGGATTAAATTTTTCCAAGGAAGTGACAATTATGCTCTTACTGATTCCCTCCATGGTAACCACCTATAATATTAAAGCCAAATATTAGTCACAGTCTAGATCTGCAGTCAGATTATGAATGGCCGTGTGACGCAGAAGGAGATTGTTTCACGAGGAACATAAATCTTTCCTTTGCATTTATGTAAAGATCACGAGCAATTAGATATATTTTCAGGTGTCTGTTAACCATCTATGCAGCCCAATTTCATAATGATAAAGATGAAAAACTCCTGTTATTTGCATCTACTAGGTAGTAAGAACCACTTACTAGTCTTTGCAGTAATAATTAATAACCATAAATAAATAAATGTTATATTGACTTGAAATGTAGACAGGATGAGTTTGCAGTCTGCTGCTATGAGGACAAGCCATCCACTAGGGTATTTTAAGCCACTGAATGTAATCTTACCTGTTGGGAAACGGCTTTGGCAATTTCACTTACTGCACTGGTAAGATTTCATCTCCATAATAAATTCAATAAAGGGTAGTAGCTACTTGTTGAGTAGCTACTTTGTACTTCAGGTGTGCGCTAGGTGAGATAGGAGACAGAAGAGCCCTAGGAGGAACAGTTCCTTCTCTCTAAGAATTCACAATCTCTAACTGAAAAGACAGATAATGCACAAGTGAAATGACTAAATGACAAGATAAGGCAGCCGCTGATTAAGTGCTAAAGTGGATTTGCGAAAAAAGGAAAACCTGGAGAATGTCTGAGTAGAACGAAATGGATTCGAATTTATGGGGAAGTCTTTAGAATGGAAGACAACACGTGTGACATAATAGCTTGCATAGTTGTGTTCGGGATGCTGAGTGCATACCAGAAGACACGGGTGCCCCTCACTCAGATTTTGTCCATGATGGTATGCCCCCGGCTCTGACGATATGCGTGTAATTGTGTTTATAAATTATAAGCTGCTTCTAAGAATGGCATGTCCTTCCTGCATGCCACTGCCTGCACAGTTTCCTCTAAAGCAATGGGATTTAGTCCACAAGACTTATTTGCCATTTGTCACACACAGCGATGATGCCTAACTGATCTGGCAGACCTGGGAATGCAGCATATCACATAATGCAGTGGTCCCCAACCTTTTCGGCACCAGGGACCAGTTCTGTGGAAGACAATTTTTCC